AACAACAAAACAACAACAACAACAACAACAACCCCCCAAACAAAAACAACAACAACCCAACAACAACAACCCCCAAACCCCATCTCCTATTCAAAAATCATAAACAGAAAAAAATAACCATTACGAATTTCAATCGCAACTTTTTTTGGTGAGTGTTTGAAGGGTGCTTGGTGTGATTTGCTCCTTCCTTTACCATCAATCATCTATCGCCCTTATCTCCCCTCCGCCATTTTTTGTTTGTTACTCTCCTGTAACTTTTCAATTCTCCAACACTTATATGGCCTTATTGTGTTGCAAGTGCAGTAAAACACTCATTAAAATAAATGGATGTTTCATATACGTAGTACTCACTTGGCTTATAGTCTACGACTATCTCCATAGACTTCTGCGTGGAATCCAACAGAGGCTGATACTCTCCTTTGGCATTGTATCGTATCGTGGAGTCGGTGTAAGAACCGCTTATCTGCTCCGATAGACGCGCGTTGTTACTGGAGAGGCCGTCACTTCCTGTGAGCTCCCGGAAGTAGCCCCGAACCACCATGACGTCATAGATAGTGCCGAGTGCCATGAGGCCAGCAAAGACGCTGAGAACTATTCTGGGTAAAAGGAAAAGTAGAAGATGGAAAAAAGTAAAGATATTGGTATCTACATTCACGGTTTGTTCATTAAGGGAATATCTCGTCTTCTTTCGTTGCGTTTCCTTGCTAGATATCAGGGTAGTCGACTGCTGTTCAAGAGAACATCATAGCTTAAAGAAACAGTCACACAACTGAGAAGATTCTTACCTTACAATGTACTTACTTACTCGTATATTGATCCTATTCTCCCTTTATCACAATTAGAACTATTACTCTACATGTAGTTCTAACTTCAATAAGACCAACCCACAAACCATCACAGCAGTCTTCCCAATCACTGACAATATAACGCATGAAAAAAGAAAGTCTCTGTAATGAATGTTTATAGAGCTTTCTATTCATGACTCAAAGAGATTTTTGAATCATTGGTATGGATAAGTAAAAAAACAACTTATATGGCTTAAATAGTTCAGTGCAATACACATAGACACAACATTTCAAAGTTTAGCTATCCAGGATTTCATCATCATCATCATCATCATCATCATCATCATCATCATCATCATCATCACCATCACCATCATCATGAGCATCAGCATCATCAGCATCATTATCAGCAGCATCATCATCATCAGCTCATCATCATCATCATCATCATCATCATCAGCAGCAGCAGCAGTAGCAGTAGTAGCAACAGTAGCAGTAGCAGCAGTAGTAGCAGCAGCAGCAGTGGCAGTAATGATACATAATGTATATAT